GGCCTGAGCGCGCCGCCGCCCGGACCCTCGCGGCCCGGCTTCCGGCCGGCGTCCGCGGAGCTCCCGGCGTCTCCCGCCGGCCCAGAATCAGGCTGACTGAGAGCACTGCGTAGAGGCCAGGCAGGATGAGCTCTAGGGAGCAGACCCCCGAACCTGGCAGCCCCTCCCCTCAGTGTTTGCCCTTCCCTAGACAAACCTTAAAGGTTCAACCAAGAAAAAGTGGGATGGAGATAAGCTGGGGAGGGGGGACATGCGACTCGAGTCATTTACTTAAATGGGGTTCTTGGTTCTCATCACCTGCATCGCAGACATTGCCTCGTTGCCCAAGTAACTGACAATGCATTTTGCATTTCTGAGTCTTGGCTTTGCCAAAGAAACGGTGGGAGAGGATTGCTGAGGAGCTGGGGACGAGCAGTTTGGAGAACAGGTGATGCCATGGGAAAGACTGTACACCGAAAACCCCACGCAGGATTTATGCTATCCGTATAGGACCCGTTGGACGACACCGTGTCGGTTTTAGAGACTTCAGATTTAAAGGGAGGGAAAAAAAAATCTGTCACTCTGCATTCTGAAGGTCAAATATTCGCCCGCAGATATTTTGGGCTGAACCATTCTTAACTAGGTCTCAGGATCTTTATGACAAAAAACCATTCTGGAACTGTGCCTTTGAAATACCCATGGAGGCTCCTTGTAATTAATACTTGTTATTCTGGATTCAATTGCTGTTCTTGTCAAATAATGAACTTTAAATTTTTATTCTTTCACAAGTTCATGCATATTTATATATAATGTACTTTTATCATAGTTCCCCATGATCTTCTTTTATCCAAATAATTAGTTGTAGTTATATATATATTCATGTGTGTATATAGTCATGTGTTTGGGTGCATATGTGTGTGTGTGTGTGTGTGTGTACTTGTGGAGGCAAGGGATCAATATCAAGTGTCTTCAGTTGCTCTACACCTTATATTTTGAGACAAGAAATCTAGAGATCTGCCTGCCTCTGCCTCGGAAATGCTGGGATTAAAGTCATGTGTCACCAACCTTCAGCTCCACAGACAGGGTCTCTCACTGAACCCTGAGCACACCAGTTGGGCTGGATTGGGTGGCTAGTAACTTCAAGGATCCTCCCATCTGGGGCTGCTCAGCTCTGGGATTACAAAGCATGCACCGTATAGTACCTGGAGGTCCGAACTTGAGACCTTGAGCTTGTGTGGCAAGCACTTTCCTGGCTGAGCCAGTCACACATGTTTAATCATTTAAAAAGTAGTTAGGGCTGGGGAGGTAGCCCAGGTGAAGCTCAGGATTAAATTCTCAGAACCTCACATAAAATGGGGCTTCAATTGGAGTGTAACAGGGTTTTTCATGAGCCTATTTTCACTTACGTGCCACCTTAGCCAGTGAAATGTCAAGAGGAGAGTTTTGCTCTTATTGAGTGTCATGGAGATACATGTATTGTTCTTTGAACATAAGGCTTTAACATGGCAACACAAGGCAAGTCTGGTTAAAGGATGATCAGTTTATTTGATACACAAATTAGGAACATTTAAGAAACTAAAAAGGTTTTTAACTTGTCCCTGGTGGTCATGTATCTTCCCTCTGTTCCTGATTTTATCCCAGGGCTCTTTAAGAGCAGAGAACTTGTTATTCCTCATTGTGTGGAAATGTACTGAGCCCAAGCTTTGCCCCTGATTTTATGTCATTTGACTCGGAGCTTGACTCGGAGCAGTTAATGGCCTCTGAGCCAGTTTTGTCATCTGTGAAATGGGAAGAATGCTGATACCTGTCTTGCAGGATAGATAACCAGAGAGGAATGATGTGAAGTAATTTCATCCACACTCAAGCTCTTAAAATGCTGATATTTCTAAGTCCTCAGATTCCCCTGCTGGCTGAAAGCAGTCACTTGTCTTTAGGCCGCTATTGCTTCCTCTCTACTTTGCCTGGCTTCCCGGATTCTCTTTCCCAAACGCATGTCAGCCTCTGGCCCTGCAAGCTTCTAAGTAAGTACCTGTGATTTGGGGCTTTGAATGCAGTTATACACACCAACAGAGTGGTTGGTGGCCCATTGCTGTTCAGCCCCTGGCGTCCTGGCCAACCCCCTTCTACATTATCTTGCTAAAACTGCTGCTGCTCTGAACATGCCAGTGTCAGACTTTCTTGATGTATAACTCTCTTCTGATCTGAGTGCCCACAACTTACACTTTCTCTGGCTTTTAAAAGTTCTTAAAAGATACTATATCCTCTTTGGAGCCTTTAGAAGTCCTTCAGAATTAATTCTTCCTTGCTGTAGGCCTTGTCTTCTAGTTTTCCTTCCATTATTGCCCATGTGTGTGCATATGCTTCCTTCCCTTGGAGGCCAGAAGACATTAAATTCTGGCTATCATGCTCCTCCTAACATCTTGCTGGGGCCTTTAAACATATGGAAATGTGCCAGTGTTTACTAAATAAAAGTTTGCCAGTTTTGAGCATATTAATATTATAAGTAATTTTAATAAAACATTAACACCAATTAAAGTGTTAGAAATGCAGTTATACTGTGTCGAGGGTAGTTACTCTTTAAAAGATTTCTGTGCAGTTGTTTTTGGCTTCTCACATAATTGTGTCCTGAGTGAAAAAGTCAGTTTTGCCA